TTTTAAAATTTAAAAAAAAAAAAATTTTCTTGGTTGACAATAATTAAAGAAAGTTCTACTAAGTATAGGTCTCTTCTAGCTATAGAAAAACTTGTAGATGAGTTTTTAGAATCCCAATAGTAGTTAAATCATCCAAATCGGCTTGGTGGATCCCAAGATACTTGGGGTTAAAGGCGTAAATATAGAGATCTGCAAAGTTACTGTTACACGAAGGATAATCGTCTAATAGGTGATTGTCTTTTGTGTATCAGTGACTTTGCACCTTTAACCCCAAGTTTCTTGGGATCCACCAAGCCAATTTTAATAGAACTTTCTTTAATTTTCAAAAGATTGCTTAGCCAATCATATTATTGTTTTAAGTAAGTCAGTCATTTGACTTAAAGAACATAGAGAAGAATTGAACAACTTTAGCTCAAGAACCTTTTAAAACTACTTGATATATAGCTTTATAATTTTTGTTAAAGAAGTATCATAAGTCCCATATTTAAAATTATATTTTATATTTATTTTGCCAAATTTTACATATAAATTTGGGTAAGTCAACTCATTTGATTTATATTAAACAGCAACCAAGGGGACATGTCTCATGCCTGTTAAGCATCAGACGCCGATGTTTTAAAAAAATTTTAAAACAATAAGTTTAAAAAAACAGTTTATCCCGTTTTTTTACCATCCCTATTTTTCCATAAATCTTCCCTTAATTGTAAATTACTACATTTCTGAATCGTTTCCAAGGACAAATTTTTAATTTCCTCATGAAGTTCTTTAACAGTCCCGCATGCATCCAATACCTAATTATTATTCAAATAATAAATTTTTATTAACAACATCCTTAATATTGAATTGTTATTTAATTTTTTCATAAAATTTACCTTCCACGTTTGATCTTTCAGTAAATAAAATGTTTTTTTAACTTTTTCCTGAAATGCTTTTACTTCGTAACGTTCATTACCAAATCCGAATCTTCTCTCTGCTTCCTCTGATGTCAAGTCCATAAAAAAGACAATGTCTGGTGTTAATAAACCAATGTCTGGTGATTTACACCATTCTAAATCAAGGCCCTTTATAAGAAAGGACAATGATGAATCAGTTTATAATAAGATAAAAATACATTGTTTAACATTGATTAATAAAAATAATATACTTTAGTAGCTGAGTAAGCGACTCCAGAGTAAGCATACCGATCTACAACCAAGGTTGTACCATCAAGGATCTTTTTCTTCATTTCTGACCTATAGATATGCTAAAAATTCAAATCTCCTTCATAGAAGATTAAATAAAATACTCGTCCTTACATGCATTCCCATCTATTTGCTGAAAATAGTAAATGAATAACTTTATCATCCATCTCTTTAAAGTTTGTCAAATATTCATTGATCATCAAACCAATTGGAGATTTTCGTTCTATATATAAAAATTTAAATACACGGTTAAATTGGTCGTTCTAAGATAGAAGTAGTTTGTAAAACGCAACGCTTCCTATACCTGGAAACTTCCATAACATAACATTGTGACCGAGCTTTTCCAAAAGGTCAACAAGAAGTTTAGCCTGCGTAGATTTTCCGGAACGGTCGCAACCTTCGAGCACAATAAACGCACCACGACTTTTTTCAAGGAGTGTCATGAGAA